TTTTCTGGTAAAAATTTTTTCATGAAAACAAAAAAAAAAACAGTGTATTTTTTTTTTACTAGTTGCTAATATGACACATTTACAAAATTATTTAAAATTATCAGCTGCATCTGTGCTGAATGATTCAATTGTATGTATGAATATCATTGATTTCTTCTTTAGTATTCTTTTGTTTTTTTGTAATAGAATTTAAAAAATGGAGAAAATAATAATTTAAAAGGTTCATTACCATCACCATTTCTTGCTGGTATTGAAAAAAAACAAAATAGATATTACATTATAATATTTAATTTCTATTAGGTTTCAATATGTTTCCTTTTCCATCAACATCAAATCATCTTCCACATCATTCATCGAATGTAAAAACAACATCAATTGATACAACAAATAATAATAATCACAATCATAATCATCATCGTGAATCATCTATTGATAGAAACTCATCATTAGGTAAGTGAAAATATTTTGTCTATTGCTTTGTATTGGTTTCATACAATAAAGAAAAAAATAATAAATCAGCGAATCAAATCGCATTCAATTGTAATCGATTATCGTTAATACGATAAAAGCAAGGACACAAAAAAACTAGTCAACTGCCGACATGTATATGCAATGATTATAATGATGCGAATAATAATAGACAGGCAAACAAAATATTTATCTTTTGTTTTTTCTTTTTGTCTCATCTAATATTCTAAATAACTAAATATTACCTGTCTATATCGATAATAGTCAATCTATTGTAAATGAATGATATTCAAAAAGAAAATGATCTAAACAAAAACAATGATATGAAAATATGACAAAAAAAATTAATTTCTATTTAGTTCGTCAAATATCATCGAATCGAAAAGAACGAAATCATTCAATACCATCAACAAATTTATCAATTTTAACTTCAAATAATGCTAATAGAGAAATAATATCATCACATGATCATATAAAACGTCCTATGAATGCATTTATGGTTTGGGCACGTGAAGAAAGACGAAAAATATTAAAAGCTTGTCCAGATATGCATAATTCAAGTATTAGTAAAATATTAGGCACACGTTGGAAATCAATGAGTAATGAAGAAAAACAACCATATTATGAAGAACAATCACGTTTAAGTAAAGTTCATATGGAAAAATATCCAGATTATCGATATCGACCTCGACCAAAACGAACATGTGTTGTTGATGGAAAAAAAATTCGTTGGTAAATGAATTTTGTTTTTGCTTTTTGTACTATTTTGTTCGTTTTCTTTTCTGTTTTGTGTCAGGTCAGAATATAAACAAATGTTAAAACAACGAAAAATAGGTCCATTTGATGAACAATATTCACCTGATGGTAGTCATTATTTAAGTAAATAATTTTTCTTTTTTTTGTTTTTTTCTTAAATTTATTGAATTTTTATTGTCTAGATAATGATGATTGTAGTTCAGATGGTAGTAATAGTTCACAAAAAGAACTTATTTTTACTGATTAGTTAATGTGATTTATTAGAGACAGAGAAGGTGCTTTAAAACAGTATTCTCTCATGTCCAGTCAGGTGTATTAGACAGTTCGTTTTATATAAATAAATACAGTGAATCTCATTGGATGTTCAACACACACACACACTTGTTGTTTTTTGTTCAATGTAAATTTAATTTTTTTTTTTTTGTATTTGTGCGCATGGTTTTAATCCCGGTGCACACAATATATCTTTTGTTTTTGTTTTTCTTTCTTTCTTTTCTTTTTGTGTTTTATGTTCATTATTCATATTCTATTCTTTTTATGTTTATTATTCTTACATTGTGTTTTGTTTTTCTTTATATATATATATAAAACAGTTTTCTTTTGACATTCTAATGAAATATGAAAGATAAAATTTAAATTAATAGATTGAAAAATGTAGTTATTTATAATAGACTCGATTTATTACTGAGATTATAATGGTGTTTTGTATAAAAATAGATAATAGAAAAAATTTATTTGGGACTTTGACAAGTTGGTTTTTATATTTACTGTTCCTCTCATTTATCGTATATTTGATAATCAATTAATCATTATTTTTCTTTTTGAAATTTAAACGTAGTTTTGTGATTCTTAATTCCGTAGATTGATTGAGATTTAGAAGCAAGTAGAAGTTTTTGATCAGACTGAACTATAGATGTGCCGGAGCTAGTTGTTTCCTTCCGGCGACGTTTCTTTCTATCAAACTGTGAATATTTTTTCATAGAGCAGACAGGCATGTTATTTTTAACTTAGAAAGACTTTATTTTTTGTTTTTCATTACTCAGACACCAACATAATCTGAATATATCGTGACCGAGAAAGAAAAGTTTTTTATGAAAAAAACGATATGAGAGGTCATTACTCTAGTATAGAAAATTTTTTTATAAGAAGACTAATAGATAAACTCATTTTACTAATTTTAAATAGGTAAAAGTGAGTGTTTTCTCTTCATTTTTTTTAACTATAAAAACAGGTTCTAAACCGTACTAGTGGCATTTTTTGACTGAAGTTAACAAGAGAAACAGAGACTTGCATGTCATTCAATAACTCATTGGTCAGAGTATATATTACTGTATTTAAGCAATTAAAAAACAAACTTAATTTTTCACCTAATATCTGTCTGAATGCCCACAGTGATGTGCTTGTCAGTTATGATCTTGGTAAATATAATCTGGATCCAGTTCCGAATGAAATTATATTCTAACTGATATGATTTATAAGATAATTCGTTTCAAGTTACAGAATACGTAACCTATCATGTTTAGTTTCGGTTAGGATCAAAGCTTCGACGAAAGTATTTATACTTGTACTTTGAGAAAAATACATGAAATTTATACTTAGGAATTGAGGCACATAGTTTCATAATTACATTTAAGTACAAAGATTGATCTTCCTACTTTTATTTAGAATGTGAAACACAGTTTTTTTTTATTTTAAGTATTTTTTTTTATCCGGTGGTTTAGGCCAACATTTAAAAAAGAGTTCATTTTTTCGTCCTATTTCCAGAGATGTCTATCATATATTCAAGGAATTATTTATCAAACTTTCACATTAGAATGCTTGCAGTCATGATTTAAAAATTCAGCAAAACAATGATTTGAATTGAACTAGCTTCTTCTGAATGGTCTGAAGAATATGACTGACTTGTGATAGTGACTTAGACGAGTATCATCAATCAGGGATATCATTCTTCATTTTGAAGAAACTCGAAGAACATTACTGGGCGGTTTTTCCAAAAATCCTGCGGTGACTTCATCAACGTATAAAGGAATGAATTGGAATTAATATCTTATCTTCATGTAACTTTTGAGCAGATGATGCCACCATGATCTTGAAAGTTTCATTAGAAGTAGAAACCATTATTGATGGTATTTTATATTCATGTATCAATAAAAAATACAAAATAAATACTTTTTTGTATTTAAGTAGAAGTAAAATACTTTTACTTGTTGTAATTGTACTTGTCCTAGCTTTTCTTGGGTTGGGTTGGGACACTTTTTCTTTTCGTAACCTCAGTCTCGAACATCCCTAGCCTGAATTCATCAACGAAGACAACTTATAAATATCAAAAGTAGAAGGTTCGTTAGTGAATCTCAATGAACAAGAAGTAATAGGACGACTTAACCAATAGTAGTACAGAAAGATTCATAGTTTTCAATATGACGAATCGTACATAATAATATATTATGTTGAAATAAAGCATCGAAGCTTTTTCTGCAATTAGTTTTACGACTAAAGGAATACACAGTCAATGAAAAATAGTTAAGTTCATTTGTAGTTTTAGAAATAGAAAGTAAAAGTTTAACAATGCTACCGTAAAAATTAAATAAATAATGATTTTTTTCATAGAGAAAGTTTTTATTACTTTCTATTTTTAGTTGTTACATAAAACAAAAGAGTTAGTCAATTAGTATAATTGATGTTTAAATCTTGTTACCTTGAATAAAATAATGTATAGGAGAATATTTTCAAGTGAATTGTAGTTTTGAAGAATTAACAACAAACATTTTTTTTTTGAATCGATTATAGAATTGTTTATAAAAGATGTCAAAAGATTCAAAACAATTTTTAAACATTGGCAGACTCTTAAAATATTTCTTCTTTCGCCCGAGACACGTATTTAGAATTCAATTGAAACTTTACGTATAAATAAGCTTCAACAACCATTTGATTTGTTCCTATCCTGAAATAATAATAATAAACTTGAGAATGTATTCGAGCGATATAAAACAGATGTTTTTTCTCATAGATGTATTTTAGGACGGGAACAAAGAAAATATTTCAAACTTTCCCAACAAACTATTCTCATCAATTCTTGTTTTTATGTTAAGTTTCAAATCGAAATTCTTCTTGATGTCCCTGAAAGAAACTACGACACTATATTGAAAAAACATTGTAATAAAAGTGAAGAATAATTTGAGTTTTTTTGTACAGTTCTTCTTCGCTTCTTACCAATGTAGGATCCAACATTTAACCATAAAGATATCAATGTTTCTTCAGACACATTTTCTAATTTCGCTTCACTACGAAAATATTTCTATTTACTGCCGAAAGCAGTGAATAATTATGACATTTTTATACCAATTCCGACAGTCTCATGAAACAAGTTTTTGATTTTATCATCGTCTAATATACACGAATCTAGTATAGACTTCCGCTTCCCAGTACGAGTCGAATTATGATCATGCATTTTCGATTTGATGATTATGAAATATTCAGAAACTTAGATATTAAGTCAAATATCGTTTCAATGACAAGAAAAGCAGCATGATTTTGTCATAAAAGAAAATAAATCAAGAAATGTTCTGTATTGAAATAAATCGCATATAATATTTTTGTTTTCCTCGACATATGTCGCCCTCTATTCATGAATAATTTGAAATTCATAAATTTTCTCAACTATCAAACTTGATTTGAAATAATAAATTAAATAAAACGATCTTTAGAAAAAAAAACTATACATTTCTCTAGCACTAATAGACTTGTAACCATAGTAATTCCTTGAAAGAATCACTCTTATGAGATTAAATATTGATTATATACTCAAGATCATAACATTATCTCAAGGAAAAAATAATATGTCCAATGATCTTAAATATGTTCTTCTACCTAAAATAGAAGATCGTCGTCGAACACCAAAATTTCAACCATGGTATTTCTATCTTTTCTTTTTTTAAATCTATTTATAATATTTTGACATAAAAAAAATCTTTAGGCTTATAAGTAATTCAAAGTGAGATAAATTTTTTGCAGTAGTTGCTTTTATTTCTTTTATTCTTGCTCTCCTATAACTTATATACTTTAAAAACAAAAAACAAACACAAAGAAAATAATTTCAATATTTATTCAGGTATCGAGAACGTCTTAAAATGAAATATCCAACTAATATGGACACAAAAAGTTGGAAATTTGTTAAAGATGGTTTAGATGATTTTCGTGATGGTTTACCACCATCACATGATTCTATTATATTAGAAGTAAATCTCTTTGTATTACTATATTTATCTTTTTTTTTATTGTTCTTATTAGCCTGAAAAAGGTCCTAGTCCAGTTGTACTTTCTCAAAATCGTCGAGTAAAAGCTAATGTATCAAATGTTCGAGGTCGTCTTACAGATCGTCAAATGTATTTAAGTCGTGAATTACCTGGTGCAGAAAAACGTCGTCAATTAATTGATAATTATGTATCAACTTTACTTGATCATCCTATGACACTTTTTCCACATTTTAATCAAACATTACCATCGGATGTAAGCAAGAAGAAAACAAAATTTTCGTTGTGAAAATTACAAAAAAAAAAATTATTATTTATTTAGATTTATGAAAAAATAACACAATTACTCGAAGCTGAATTATCACGAGAAAATAATGATGAACAAAATGTATTTATAGATGAATGTAAAGACATATTTACATCAGCATCTGAAGTTCCAGTAGCTCGAGAAGATACAAATAATACTGAAAGAAGTACAAGTAGTAGTAGTAGTGGTAATCGTAGTCGTAGTAGTTCAAATAAATCGAAAGATAAATCTGAACCAGAAGAATTGGATAGTAAACGTGGTTCAACACGACCCGGACGAAGTACAATTGTTTATGATGAATCAGGAAATCAATGGGATTCTGAAGAACTTGAAAGAAAACAGAAAAATCCTTATCGATGGTATATTGAAAAACAAACAAAGAAACAAGAATCTAAAGAACCTACGCATGATGATGAAGCAACTACTGCAATGGTAAATTTTATTTTTCAAAGCTTCCTTTCTTCATAATCGATTTTTCGATACAGTACATGAAACTTTCTGAGAAGTTTTGTCTCATTGAAAATAATTTTACGACTTGAATTGTTTCTGTAGAGCAATTTTCGTGGAAACATAGTGCAAAATAGGACTGTCATTGGTACAAGTGTTTTTTCAATACACTTTCAGCTACAGCACTCTGGCTACTCTTATCTCAAAAAGAACTTCTTACTGCTTGGGATGAAGGAAGAGGTTTTTCAATCTTTATTCTATTTCATTTTCGGAGTGCTCACAGCTTTAAAACTCCAATAATCTTAGACAAAATGTTGTTTTTTTAGAAAACCTGTGACTGCTGTAATATTGAAGGCTGAATACAAAACTTCTGTTCCTTATCAGAAAGAGAATGCATCTCTCTATTCAATAAAAAAAAACTGCAATTCACTAGAACGAACACTATCGGAAAGAAATTCGTTCAGAATTTGAGAATTTTTGTGTATATTGATCTGAGAAACTTTCTAGAAGTGAGACTATCCTAACCATGCAGTATAGGATGCTATCGGATGGCAGATTCAGTAGCTATGGACAGAAGACTAGCCAGACAAAGAGCACTTCCGCTCCTCATGAACACTAATTAACCACATAGTAATCAGAAAAGCAGATGTATCGGACGAGTGATTCAAGACAAATAGTTATCAGCAACTGGTTCAAAGCCATTCCATGATTGATGTTACTAAGGTTTGAACACAGTGCTTGGTGAATACATTTCGAACAACGGAGTCACTCATTTACGAGTGGTCTTCTAGTCACACGTTAGGTTATGTGATGCAGGGATGTAAATAAAATCTTTTTTTTTGAAATTTTTCTCATTAAAGGAAGCTCGTCTTCGAAGTGTTTCTGAAGAATTTTGCAATTGGTTATATGAATTTGGTGGTGAAACAAATCGTGATATTGATCCAGCTGTTGTTCGAAATTTATTTTCAACTGCTTATGATACAAAACCATCTTTAAGTGTACCAATCAAAATAGTTGAAATGACAAGAGTTTGTTTTGTTTTAAAATTTTTCTTAATTAGAATATTTTACTTTATTAATTTAGATTCCACCTGAATTACGAGAAGGTGCACAAGATACAATGATTCCACAAGCACAACAGAGAAAAACAACATTTCCTGAATTGGTATTTTCTTTAGAAAGAAACAGCTAAGAAGTATTTTAAGTCATATGAAAATTCTTCTATAATATGTATATTTTAAATAATAGATTTTCTTAAAATAATTTAAAATGAAATTACGAATATGTTTGCATATAAAAGAAAGCAAGACTATTATATTCTTCAGAGTAAATTTTATTAAATGAGACAATAAAATAAATCTGACATTTATTTTATTAAAAACTAATCATACACAATGAGAAACCTAATCTAAATACTAATAATAAATATAGAATGTAAAATGATTAAAAATATCGTTTCTTCTTGAAAGAGATTATAAAATTCTATTGTTGATCTGATCATTTTTGTTCTTTTATAATTTAATATGAAAGAAAGAAAGGAATAAATGAACATTATTAATTATTTATACGTAAAATGAATGAAACACATATTCTTTTGAATTAATGAAACAAGACAGAAACTGAATGCAAACACTTTTTTCTGGTTGTCACTATAACTATTATAGACATGCAATCATAGTACTCATTGAATGCATTGGAATCAGTGCCTGTAAAATGAAACTATTTGTTTATTCATTCAAATCTGTTTATAAGAAAAAAAGTGTAAAAACATACCAATGATAAATGCTTTCATCTTTTTATTAAACAGAAGGTTACATCAATAAATAAATTGTAGCGTTTTGGAATTGATGATAAGACGCATTGAATGGGATCTATGGCAGTGACGTATCCAGGATTTTTCCGTATGTTGAATCTCGATTTCTGAGCATGGGATCCAGATAAAACTTATGGAGGATGGTGTTGGATCTAAATGATGGAATTTTATCAAAAAAAATTTGCACTCGGAGTTTGCGAAAAAAATTAGCATTTTCCTGATCCCCCCCCTCTAAAACTTTTTGCTCTTAGGAGTATCATGGTTTTTAGAATTTCATAGGAAGCTACATCGAATTTCATCGACAGATTTCAAAGTTCGTCTAAAAATATGCAACCGTTCCACAGTTATGACATTTTGAATTTTTGCTACATGTGAAAACAATTTTTGCATAATTTCAAAATGTCATAACTATGGAACGATTACATATTTTTTGACGAGATTTGAAATCTATCGATGAAATTCGGTGTAGCTTCCTATGAAATTCTAAAAACCATGATACTCCTAAGAGCAAAAAATTTTAGAGGGGGGGGATCAGGAAAATGCTAATTTTTTTCGCAAACTCCGAGTGCAAATTTTTTTTGATAAAATTCCATCATTTAGATCCAACACCATCCTCCATAAGTTTTATCTGGATCCCATGCTCAGAAATCGAGATTCAACATACGGAAAAATCCTGGATACGTCACTGATCTATGGTTGCATATTTATGAAAGAAAAGGATCAGTTATTCGGTCTTAGTTATAATAATAAATCTCATAAGTTTAATTAAAAATAATAATTTTTTTCAACTTTTAATTGTTTTCTATTTAGCATGTAAGTTCTAGTATAACAAAATCAAGACAATTTTCAACTAGTCCTACTAATCAAATATTACATTCTCGAAAATATCGATATGGAGCATGGTATTTACCAAAAAATCTTTGGCAACATTCATTAAAAACTGAAGAACTTCAAGATCCAAAAATAATACAAGCTGAACGTGAAGATCCAACACGAAAACGAGAAGAGCAAATGGTTAAAATATTTTTCATGTAATCAAAAAAATTAAATATATATTTAATTTTTTTAGAATGCTCGTCTTGCTCCATTACATGGTATTGATGCATTCAAAGAATATTTAGTAGAAAAAAATGTTCGTCGTTTACCAAAAGTAATTTAAAACAAATCAAAATCAATAAAAAAAAATCTGTTTTTACTTGTTCTTTGTATAATAGTTAATAACTGATGTTGAACAATATCGTCGTGATAATCCTCGTGATCTAACAGATTCAACTACTGAACTTCAAGCCAAAAAATGATCTTAAACTAACTGATTTTTCTTTTTTTCTATTTTTTGCTTTCTTATCTTTTGAAATCTGGTGATGTTTTCAACGGTGATATTTAAGTGATATATAGAAGTATTATATATTTTTTTTTCTTCAGATTTTTCATAATGGCAGATAAAAATGCTTCATATTCTGGTTTTAATGAATATAATCCTTTATTAGATACAACTGTGAGTTAAATTGAATAAAAATAAAATATTTTTATTGTGTTATCTAAGGGTTTAAAACATGATACTGATTTACAACAAGCTCTTATAAAAACTAGTCATGGTCGACGAGCTCCAACAGTAATTTCTTTTTCTTTTGTTTTATTATAAGAATAAGAAAAAAAACTTGTTGTTTTTTTGTTTGTGTTTCAGACCAGCCAAGCTGGTGCAGCTACTGCTCAAAAAGTAGAAATTATTTTTTTTGAAGTTTTACTTATGTAGATTGTTCGATTTTGCTTTTTAAGGGTGGATTTCTTTCTAAAATGAAAAATGTATTTAGTCGACCAAAGAATACAAATTTATCTGTACCATCGAATAGTTCTGTCGCTCGATTAGGAAGTGCATCATCACGTACTGTTACTACTGCTACTCAAAAAAAAAATAATGTTATTAATGCTCCACTTGGTTCAACTTTAAATCGTCCTACGACAACACAAAAAAGACCAACAACAGCTATAGAAGGTGCTGGTTTTATAGTTGGATCGGGAGCATTAGGTAGTTATATTCCAACAACATCAGGACCAAGTCAATATGAAAAGAAAGAAGAAAGGTAATTGAATGATTATGAATTAAATAATGTTTTTTTTTTCTTTTCTTGGTTTTTAAGTAATGATGAAAAAGTACGTAGAATGGAAAAAGTAATTTTTGATCTTGTGGAACAAAGTTGTTTTGCATATGAAAAAAATGATACAAAATTAGTAAGAAAATGTAATCTTTTATTTATATCAAATATACATTGTTTATTTTTAGGCACTTGAAAAAGCTGAAGAAGCAATGAAACATGAAAAAAGTCTTAGTCGATATCGTGAAGAACAAAATATTGGTGAATCAGATTTGAGTCTCTCTGGTTTTGTATGTATTAAATTTGATTGTTTATTTTAAAAAAAAAAATGACCTTGAGAAATCATCTTAGATCTTCATATGCTTGTTGTTCACACTAACAAACATTTCAACAAAATTGTTGAGTATATCGAATAGTCTATAAGTCAACAAACTTTTTTTGTTTTTCAAAAAATTAAGTTTTAAGTAAGATAAAGTCATTTTGAAAAGTTACTGTAATAAAACGACTGTATTTTCCATAAAAAAAAAACGATTTCTCACGATTGATAACTTACAAACTACGAACTTGAATTTTATTAGAAATTTTCGATAGTGTATTAACCGAAATAAATTTAATTGAATAAAAAAAATGATTTGAATTTCTTTGATAGGTTATTCTTCATTGTGCAAATATGTTTACAAAATGTGGTATGAATATGGAAGCAATGAATCTATATAATTTAATACTTAAAAATAAATTATTACCTGAATCTAGTCAAATGTAAGTAAATATATAAAATAGTATTATTATTTTAATAGAAAAACAAAAAAATAATTTTTTTTAGACGAATAAATATTGGCAATATTTTTCTTCAGTCAAAGAATTATACAAAAGCTTTAAAAATGTATCGAATGGCACTTGATCAAATATCTGATCAAAATTCTAAGTTAAAGTATAAATATTTCATAAAATATTTTAATATAAAACCTTCTTTTTTTTTTTTTGTTTTTCAAGACTTAAAATTCGACAAAATATTGCTGCTACACATATTCTAATGAATCAATATGCTGAAGCAGCTCAAGCTTATGAAATAATAATACAAGAACAACCAAATTATCGTAGTGTTTTTAATCTTCTTCTATGTTATCATACAATAGGTCAACGTGATAAAATACGACAAGCATTTATTGATTTACTTAAAATACCATTTTCAAAGTCTGAAGATGATTATCCCGTATCTGTAAAATCTATCAATTGATTTTTTTGTTTTGTTGATTGATTAAGTTTCTATAATTTTAGATAGATAAAGAAGATCGACAAGCAATTTTTGTCATCGAAGCTATACGAGATGATCGACTAAGACAATTAGAACGAAAACGGTATAGTAAAAGAAGATAATTATATATTTGAAGAAGTTCACATGAGAGATAAGAAAAATTATCAAAAGAAAATTGTATAAATAAATATTTCAATATTCGAGCTGGCAAAAATGTGTTTTAACCATCAAAAACAAAGATCATAGACGACTAATTTAAATATACAGTATTGATCAAAATATAAGATCAATCTGCTTTTAATATGACTTCAAGCATTTAACTCATATATAAATAGCGATATGAATAGCTAATGTATTTCATTTCGAAGAAAGTTTCTGAAACACTAAAAACGGTAGTTTTAATGTCATAGAAGACTGTGAAATTAATTTTAAGAGTGTCATCTTAAATAGCACAAAATATTGTATTAAAGATTGAATGCAGATCGAGAGTACTAGAAGATGTACCAAAGTAACTGTTATCTATATTGACGAAGTTCGGATACCCTATCTCATCATTGAGTGCTGTGACTATATTCAAAATTTGATATTTGAAGGTGCTTTTAAGGCAATTTTTATTCGTTATTAATCTAAATTAATTAGACGTTCTATATTTTTTTCTTCCTCATTTAGTGCTCAAAATCACTATGATCTACCCCATGTCGTGAGAATCACCGCGATTTTCGCGATTTTCTAAAAAATTGGCGTAAAATCGTGTTTTATCGTATTTCTTTAAAAGATCGACGATTATATCAGATTTTATTGCGATTATGGGAGAAGAGCTGATTTTCAAAAATCATTGATAAATCATGACAATTATTCATTCACCGTTTTGTTATGAACACACACGGATATATAAGCAACGTCGTTCAATGCATAACAAATAAGTTTTCGAAATATACTTTTCTGATAAATTATTTCTTGGTTATTTTTAATCAAAAAAATGCCAATCCTGATCTATGATCTGGAGAGGACTACACTGAAGCGGTCTGATAAGAATCAGACCAGCTCGAGATTGGACAGATCGAGCGATCTGATCGGCTTGGATCTTGAGAAAAAAAAATTGAATTAAATTCAAGAAAAAATCCAAATATGTGTCTCCCAAAGAACCAATGAAATAGTAGAAAATATCAGTAAACAGACGGTTAAATCTTGCATAAAATCACGATTTATCGTAAAAATCGCCGAAATAATCTGGAATAATCGGCGATTTTATCGCGATTCAGCTCACGATTATCGTTTCGATGAATCGGGATTAATCGGCAATTTTTAGCCGATTCAAAGGACATGGGACATGAAAACATGCAAAGTATCTTATTAACTGCTTAAAATTATTTTAAATTACAGAAAGCGATAATTTAAATAATTCTAATTAGAAATATGTAGGATCAACTTCAGAGCGAAGGAAAAGACTAAAATCACCAAGCCTGAAGTCAGCACTATGACAGATATGCCAAAATCAAAAAAAAAGTTAGTTTCGCACATTTCCGAGCAAATAAAAAAGATCTCAAGAATTTGTTCTGGTACATTATATGGTTTAGTTTGTTTAGATCTCATGCTTTTTACTTTTTTCTTCTAATAAAATGAAGAATTTCTTTTCTTAGACGCCGTTTTGCTGAACATATTATTGTAACAGCAGCTAAAATTATTGGTAATAATTCTGATGGAGATTTAGTTAATGGTTATGAATGGTGTATTGAACAAGTACGAAATTCAACTTATCTAGAATTAGCTAGTGGACTTGAAATTCAAAAAGCTATTGCTTATTTACGTGAAGATAATTTTTCGAAGGTTATTGAAAAAAAAAAAGAGCGAACAGATAAAATTAACAAAAAAAAAAATGATTTCTGTTTTCTCTTCAGGCTATTACTACACTTAAACAATTCGAAAAAGCTGAAGCAAAATTAGCTAGTGCAGGTTTGTATAATAAATACAAAAAAAAAACAGCACAAAAATAAACTTATACTAACACACTAACATTTATTATTATTATTTTTAGCTGCAACTAACCTATCATTTTTGCACTTTTTGGTATAATACTCTGCATATCTTATGATTTTATTTGTTTTATTTTTTAGGAAAAAGATTTAAATAATGCACATAAATATGCAGATTTAGCATTAAAAACCGATAAATTTAATCCAGCTTGTATGTAAATTAGAAATTTTATTATATTATTTTTTGATTTATTATTTTCTTTCTTCAGCTTTAACAAATAAAGGTAATTGTTGTTTTGTTCAAGGTGATTATGATAAAGCACGATATTATTATGAAGAAGCACTTAATATAGATGCAGGTTGTGTTCAAGCACTTCATAATCTTAGTAAGAAAATTTAAATCGAATACTTCTATATAATTGAATATTCTTTTTTTTTTTAAGTTCTTACTTTAATTAATTCAAATCAATATCAACGTGTTAAAGATTATCTTCATAAATATACAGTAATTCAACCAGAAAATACACAAGTTTTTTGTTTAATGGCTAAAGTATTACAACAGACAAATGATTTGGATCATGCTAAAAGTTGGTTAGTAATGTTAGGAGTAAATTTAGAAAACACGTTCTTTTGATAAAAGAATAGTAACTAGAATATTCTAAATCGAGGTATGTTCAGATTTCCAAAAAAAAGAAATTATCCATATTTCTGAAATTTCCATCAGCTTGATTACTATATAGCAGTGCAAATCATAAGTTTTTAGACATATTGGAAATTATATCATTTTAGGAAGTAACGTACAAATGCTTGAAATCTCCGAAACTTTCTTTTTCGAAAGTCTGAACACTGCTGTCTGAATCTCAAAAATTCCTGTTTGTCATATCCCAAATGATGTTCTAAATTTATTTAATTCTTATATGAAAACTTGTCGTACATTTTTATTTTATTTTTTTATTTCTAACAAAAATGTTAAAATAAATGACAGAAAAAGAACATACAAAGAATTATATTGTCACTCGAGTAAATCCTGTGTAGTAAAGGCCGTTGACTAAACGAGCCTGAAAATTGTCAGAACGCAATCGTACACAGTATTTCCTATTTCTAAGTCTTAGACTTCCGTAGGGGAAATTATTATAATGAATTTCAATCGTGTTTAACGGTCTCGTCTCAGTTGACAATTTATGAGATAATGGATCTCAATCAACTATAAGCTATTAATTATCATTTATCGCAAAAAAATAGCCATCTTAAAGAAAACTGTGCATTTAGCCGCCTTTCAATCAATGAGATTCAGGATACGAAAAAAATTTGTCTCACAAGACTTTACTTGGAAGTTTCAGCTCAAAAGAGTGTTTCCTTCGCGAAATATTGAATTTCTGAAAATTATTCATATTCCATAAACATTCAAAGATCTCATGTTTTTGAGAAAATTAATATTTGGTGAAGAAGACATTCTAGTTACAAGTAGAACTATCTATTCAATAGATTGTCATTCGATTGTTTTGTACATACTGTACTATAGACTAAAATTTCAATAAAATGACTATAACGCTGTATGGAAGGTCTCGAAGATCTTATTCTTGTTTTTGAAAAAAGAAAGGAAATACACATCAAGTTATTGACTTTCATTAATTTAATTACCATCTGGATCGTTTATTAATATTAATCTTCTAGGTATTTTATCTGTCATTCATCGTCATAAAAAAAGCATTAGTTTTCTTTCTTTCTTTTTTTTATTGTCGTTTTACAATTGTCTGATATGATTGTACTTTAACCTTCGTAATTACTTCTTGAATGTGCTCTTCAGATATTTTTTAACGATCAAAACATCGTCTAGATTTGTAGTACCATTTTCTGGTTCATTTCGATTGATAAAACATATTTGACGGCAATATAGACTCACATCTCTAGTAAAATTTCCTCATGAAAATCAATTTTCTGGAGAAAGTTCCGAAACATTAATCTAGAAACACTGAAGAAGGATTTACATCAATTGAAATATTGTATTCGATTATAAGAACATTTTTTTCCATACATCGTTACCTTGCTAACGAAAATTAAATCGTTTTTTTTTTGAAAAACTTAAGCATCTTTAGAAAAAAAAAATTTCAATAGAGATTTAATAGCTCTAGGAGTGTCTGGAGAATGTAATATTTAGTTTTTAAAAATGCTACCTTAATTTGAAGTGTTTTTAAACTAACATGCTTGAAGTGAAACTCGATGTCTTTGTTTATGTCACATCGCTCAAGCTACAATCTTTTTGACAAACAACTTCTCTAGACAAAGGCTTCTAACACTGATCTTTTAGGATATTTAAAGTAATTTAATATACATGTAAGATATAGATTTTAGCTCTAGGACAGTGCAGTACCCCGAGGTATTCAAGTTTTAATTTTGCGAAGTTACATCACTAATGAATTATTTTTTTGCTCTGATATTCACAAAAGAAAACTTTTTTTTGGTTTTAAGACATCGTTATCAATAAGAGATCCTAGAATCAACAATTTTTGTATCGTATTTGATATGCTTTAGTTATCAGAACATCAATAAAAATTTTAGTATTATTCTTGACAGATTTTCTCATTTTTATGATAAAACAAATTAATATAAATATTTATAGTATATTCTTTTTCATAAATTTGATTTTTTGCTAGGTATTTACAAGCATTAAGTATTCATCGAACAGATGGACATTTACATCGGCGAATAGGTGAATTAATTGATTCTCAAGGTGATAAATCGAATGCATTGCAATATTATTTTGATGTAAATTATATTATTTTGAAATTTTCAGTATTAAATCTTTTATTTTTCCTCTTTAAAGGCATATCGACATAGTCCATGTGATATTCAAACATTAGAATGGTTAGCATCTTATTATATTGAAACACAATATCCAGAAAAAGCCGTAGAATATTGTGCACAAGCAGCTTTAGTCAAGTAAAAGAAAATTTTTCAAATATATAAAAAAAAACAAAATGTTTAGACCCGGTGAAATAAAATGGCATTTAATGGTAGCATCATGCCATCGTCGTAGTGGTGATTATGCAGCTGCTATAGAAAAATATAAATGGATTCATCAACATTTTCCAGACGATACTGATTGTAAGATTGAAAAGAATAAAATATATAATTTTCTAAAAATAGAAATAAAATATTCTTTTTTTTTTTTTTTTTCTTTCGTCAATACAAAGAAAGAATAATACATTTATATAGATAATTATAAATCATAATAAGTTTTCTTTATATTCTAACTGCTAATATGTAACACATGTCTTTAATTAGAAAAGAAAAAGAAAACATCATAGAAGTACTACTAGTAATGTGTACTTAAGAAAAAGCAAATTATTGTAGTCTCTATTTTAAATATGTCGTCATGACAAAAAAAAAAAACACATAATTATATGTTTTGAAAATGCTCAGAGTTTTTTATTATGTTCGATATTTATATTTTTTTAATTTACACTTAGGCACTACCAAAATAAATCGAGTATAACGAAAGGAATTCAAGTCACTGAATTTTTACGCCTTTCATTTTGTTATAATCATTTAAAAAAACTGAATTATATATTATTTGATTAATTTTGAAATTCTTCATTGTCTTATACTTATTTGTTGCAACGAAAGAATTTCAAGTTCTATCTGATTATATACTTATTTTTCTTAATGAGGATATCCTATAGTGATAAAAAATTTGTCAATAATTAATTTTGATGGTATTAACTAAATGAAGCACGAGGGAAATCAGATGATGTGTAGGTGCCATCATTACACTTAATTTAGTATGCTAGTGTATAAGTGCAAACTAAAACGTAAATATAGAAGATGCTAGAAAACTTCAAGAGCTTACAACATATGTAATTATTTTTTTTTTTTATTTTGTGTTTAGTATATATTTCAAAAATTTCTTTGAAAAGAAATTCTAAATAATTTATTTTTCATGAATAGAATAAATAAATGAATAGTTTAATTTCGTAGGCTTTACAAAATTTAATGAATGCTTTAATTTTTTCTTTTGAAAAAAAAAATGCTAAATTAATAATCAACCTAATCTTTGAAAGAATCTAATAAAACTTGTACAAATAAATAAACAAGAAAGAATGAAATTTTGTAGCTTAGAGAATAGAGATAAGAAAATTTTATGTTTAATGGTATCATTTTAAAATGCTTTTTGATGTTTTTACTATCAATATTTCTATCTAAAACATAAAAGTTATCATGTCAACTTAACCTTGCTTTCGATATTTTAATCATAACTTTTCTTTTTTTTTTTTTGTCTGTAGGCATTCAATTTTTAATTAAAATTGCTATTGATCTTGGTTTACCTGAACGAGAAATGTATGAAAATGAATTAAAAAAAGTTAATAAAATGAAAGAAATTCAACTTCAAGTATATTTTTTTTTATTTGAATGTATACCAAAATTTTATTTTATTTTCTTTTTATTATATAGCGTAAAACAAGTGCAGATAAAAGTCGAAATATTATTAAAGGTCGAAAAATATCATCGGCTGAACATGAAAGTATATAAATAATTATTCTATAGAAATCATATATTTTATTTATTTATTTATTTAAGTTTCTCGTAGCAATCGTAATCAAATTATGGATGATCATGGAAAACGTACACCAATTAATTTAGATAATACTGAAGGCGTTTTTTCTCAGCAAGGTTTTTATTTTTTTATTTGTATTTAAATATATTTTTTCCTCTTAGGACCTATTACAATTCATCCTTATATTGATCAATTTCCTCAACAAATGACACACGAACGACCAAGAACTGCTATTAGCAAAAAAGAAACACATGCAATAGTTTTTGATGATAAAGATGATGCAGCTGAACTTTTACCCGATTAAAAATAAACATCTATGATGTTGTCTTTTTTTTTTTTGTGATCTTTGTATAATAATAATAATAATAAAAAGAAAAGTCATAATGTCAATATAAGTTAACTACTAAGTCTCATGAAAAATGATGTTTACTATATAGTTTTTTTTTTCTCATATGTTTTGCAGCTGATCATTATTTTTTCTTGTTTTTTGATTATAACGGAAGAGTGGTTAACGCGTGAAGATAAAGGGCAGAATGTGCCTGTTTTACATTCCCTTTTTTTTTTAGATTTTTGCAGAGGAAGGAAGAACAGCGTTTATGTAAGAAAAAAAAAACCGGGGCGACGACCTTTTCTTTCTCTTTTATAAGCGACCACAGATACCATTATAAGTAGAGAACAAATGTCAAAAAAAAAACATCTTTCTTAGTTTGTCCTACACAGGTTTTCTTTTTGTTTTTAATATAAAAACAAAGAAAATTTAACAGTTTTCGTATAGTTATTAATATAAGTAGTATTTCATAATTTACTTCAATGAGCAAATTTAATTGTTCACATTTCCTGAAGGAAAATTGAAATTATTTATCAAAGTTTAAATCTAGTCGTAGATAATTATAATAATTAGTGTATAGTTTGAACTTATTTAAATTATTAAAAGTCGAGGTATGTGTTGTTGATCCTGAGTTCTGTCCTGAAAACATACTTATTTTTACTTAAGAGAATGTGTCTTTTTCTTTTTCTTCTTTTTCTCGCTCTCATTTCTCCACTTTCTGTGTGCGTCAAAACAGTCTCTTTTCGTTGTCTGTCAGTCGACCATAATCATTCATCAATTAGAATAGAAGAATACATCGGGTATTTGTTTAATGTACTACTGTGAAAAAAAAAAAAAAGTCATTTTTATAATGCGGATGCATATTTTTGCTTAGGGACTAATATTTTTTTTTTTTTTTTTTATTAAAAAAAAATATAATAAGCAACAAATTTTTAACAGTAGTCTTGTTAAGAACGAGGTTTAGCATAGAAATAAATTTGTTCTTACTCTCTACAGACAATTTTACTCAAGAGAAACTCTTAATTTTTAATGAATAATTGAAACAAGAAAGTATACAATCTTTTTTTTTTTTTTAGTTTTACGTTCCATAATCAACAGTGCTTAGTTTAATAATTAGGAAAATGTATTCAACTGTTTCTAATCTTGGTTTATTATCATCGTCAAAGAATATGAATGCATTTCAAACATGGAATTATCATAACGATTATTATTCCGGTGATGGTTCATGTCATCATTATAATGCTTTTTTAAAACAACCATCCAATAATGATGATATTATTCTAGAAAAATTTCATCATGATACATTAATTAAATTAGAAACAGGTGAGAAGAAAAATATTCAACAATTAACAACAAATGATTTTATAATAAGTGCAAAACAAAATCAACAATATTCAAGGTAAAAAAAAAAAAAAAGAAAGAAATAACTTTGTCATAACCAACTATACAAATATGTTATGTATTTAGTTTGTTGGCACGCGTTGAGTATATTGGTTGTCTTGATAAGCTAACTGGTAAAACTGAATTACGTTTTCATATAAATGGAATTGAAAAACCCGTAAATCATTTTATTTATATATATATATAGAATTGATTTATGAAATTTTTTCTTCTTCTATTTTTAGGTATCATATTATGTTTCACAAGAAATGCCATTTTTTGTTCATCAATATTCTTGTTGGTCATCAATATCACCAACATGTACACATCGTTTAACGGGATTAAATTGTCGTCAATTAGAATGTGGCGATTTAATAATAGCTATAATTGAACAAAAAAAAATTGATTCATCAAAAATAAATCTTAAACCAAATTATAGTCAACAATCACCAACAAAATGTTTAGTTGAAAGATATATGAATGAAAAAATATCATCATCATTATCATCATCATCAAAGGATAATATTATATCAAAAAATAAACGATTTAAAATCTATAATGAATGAGGGAAGACATGCTTTCTTCTTCTTTTTTTTTTTTTGTTTTATTCATTAAATTAATTTCTCTCTCCGTCTCGATGAATTTACGCTCTGGACGCGTCTAAATGTCCTTGATAGTTTTTACTTGAACGCACACATACATATAGACATAAATAGGTTGTTTCTTTCTTTTCCTACTTTGCATAAATAATAGTAAATGAGTTTTGTTTGGTATTGTGTCTGTATTACTTTCTATATAAAAAAAAAAACAGATCGAACTTTATGACGAGAGATTTTAGTTTGATTTTTGGTTGCAATATATATTTTTGTTCGTATTGTCAGTAGTTTGTCATTGCTTTTCGTTTTTTTTTTGATGATTTTTATGTTATAGGTCAAATTTTTTCTTATGTTGTTATTTATCTTATCTATATTAAATGTATGTTTAGTTAGCAGTTGTTCATTATATTTGAAAGAGAGAAAAGGTGTTTCTTGTTATTTACAGGAAAGTAATTTCTGTTTGTTTGTGTGTTGTTATTATTCGTAGGAAACATTCTATTTATATTCAATATCAATAGAAGAATATTGTCTAATTTAGTTTTGGTTTTTTTTTAATTGACTTCTTTGAAATTTCATCAAACTTTGTGATCACACTCGATTTTTGAAAAATTATTATTATCATTGAAATTGAGAAGGATGTGGAAATAATTCTTCCTGTTTGTGACACGTTTTCTTTTGTTGATACTAACTATCAATGGGAATATGGGGCACATATATTTTGCTAAGTTTGCACTGATCGTGATTAAAAAGAGAATGTTTGTAAATGACAAAAGGTTTTTTGAGCTTTGCCGATTTTAGCAGACTTAAGATTTCATTTACTTGTATTAATATGAAAGAAGTTTCATGTGTCAGTAATTTTGGAAATATGAATACTACCGTTTCGTATTTGTCGATCGAGGAGAATGTATCAAGAATGTACTTGTTTTCTAGTCTTTCAATGTTTTTTTTTGTCAAATATTGATTATTAATATTATCACAAGAAGCTAAAGATTAACAGAGCAGACGTGGAAGAGTCAATAAGGGTCTGCACTGAGATAAAACAAAAACTCTGTTAGTTATTTGATATAGTAAAAAAAAAATAGAAGAGATAGATATCTGATAGTTGTTTTTCAAAATAATTATAGAAAATAATCTTTCTAGCATATGTTGCTTTTCCCTAGAATGCTTTTTAAACTCTTTCATACACGATAATTGTCTTATGACGATTCGATCATAAATGATTTTAGTTCTTAATTAAAGAAAATAAAATATTTAAATATTTTTTTTTTTTGAAATATTGATATTATGTAATTAAGAGTATATTTAACCTTTTATTGCTCCATTGTCAATTGGAATTATCTTTTTTTGGAAACATTGCAGAACGCTGGATATTAAATTCAGGTATTTTAAACATAATACTTATTAATGTTTACAGCTAGACCAGTGAACACATTGTCGCTATTGATGAACACAAGCATAATTTGATACAGTTTAACTTTATTGTATTGTTTCAATAGATGAATCCGATGGTTGAAATCAGTCCTGAAAACAATCACATACCAGTAGCCCCCCCAATATCTTATATAATACAAAAATAAAACTTCAACAAAGAGTGAAAATTCTGTTTGATAAAAAAATAATGTTTATTTGATATTTGTTTTTGATCAAATCGAATCAGTTATATATGCAACGATGTTGTTTTCTTGATAGAGTCTCTAGAAAACCGCATTTTTAAGTGAAGTGTTTGAATTTTTTCCTCATACGATTAGAGAAATATTCACTAGTTAAGTTTTAATTTATAGTTAGTTAACATTTTTACATATGTCTATGCTACAACAACGTATTCAGATAGCTAATCCATATAAAGATAAACAGAAGTTAAATATGATTGTACAGAATTTTATTCGATAAAAACAAGGTAGTCCTTTGCGTATTTTTCGCTCTAACAAAATCTGTACTTTGTATTGCGATGGTCTCGATAACACAGAGTCAGAAAATACACAGTTAGACGTTCTTGGACTGTTGTATTCACGCATTGAAGCGATATTCTTATTACTATTTGAAATCAAAACCGATGATATTTCTTCAGCTTCATATGTTTGTTACAACATAAATAGCAAGAGTAAAAAAAAAAGCCCATTACAGTTCCAGCAACAAAGTAGATATTATCTCACCAAACCTAACGCAGTGCATTGTTCTAAATTTCATCTATCTACGTAGGACTGTGGTAAGCATTTTACTCCTAATATTCAAAGTATAACAAACGTATATAATTTAGGTCATATAATTTGTTTCGATTTCATATATAGAAGTTTTCTACGAAAAAAGATTCCTTATAAATCTACACTATAAAAACAACTTTTAGTTCCTTCGATGCGTGAATAAGACAGTATATAAGAGCGTCTATTTATGGTAGGTGTGTACATAGAAGACCAATAAAACAATTATTCAACATAAAATGTTATTGTTCGAAAAATGAGTAGTTGGATACTTTTGAAAGAATGAAAAAAGGCATGCTGTAATGGTACATGAATTAGCAGGTAAAAGTAAAGGTATACAACTCTAAGTTAAAATGATTATTCTGATTTTCCAGGTATAACGTTTTTTTAGAAACGTATACGAGGTTTACTTGATGAAATGTTTGTTCTTAATATTAGACACTATGCCGCCAGTTTACATCATTCAAAATGTCGATCTTTAAAATTTTGCTCTGTAACTGAACGTTTCCAATGCCATATTATGTTCAACAAAAAATACAAATGATTTCGATTGGAAATATTAAAGAAAGTGAAAAGCAAACCACAGAATAGATGACAAAAAAAATTAAAAAGTGATTTATTTCGTCGATTCGAATCCGATGAATTCAATGATCAACATGAAACTAGAGATCAATCGCGTAATGGAAGTGAAGAATATCTTTTTGAAATTAAGAAAAAGGATGAGCTTGATTTGTATCTGAATTTGGAACTTGAAAAGTGTAAATTACCGTCAAACCCGTTAGTTTTTTGGAGGGATCAACAAGAAAAATTTTCTCATTTATCTCGCTTTGCTCGATCAATTTTTTCAATCTCAGCTACTTCTGCAGCTGTTGAGAGACAATTTTCAGAAGCGGGAGCACTAATTTCAGAAAGACGAACTGATCTCAATCCTGAACATTTAGATAACATTCTACTAGTACGATCTATGCAAAAATATGAAAGTCTTTTTTAATTGTTTCTCATATTATGTTTTTCTTGATTAAGTGTTTTGTATTGCAAATACTCGTATTATTGAAACTTCTACGCGTTGTTGTATTATTCTTTATGTTACCACTATTATTCACTATGTGAATCTAACATTGATGAAGAAACTCTTTTATTTTGCATCTAGTTGTACATTTACTTTTTTCTATGATAAGCATGTTATTTTAATTATAACTTATTGTGCTTATTTTTTTTGCTTATTGAATTGACTATTATTCAATAATAGAACTATGACGCTTGAAAAAATTAGGGTACAAATTAATTATAAGATGATTGAAATGTTTAATTTATGCGTCACTTAATTGAAAAATCAAGATGTTGTGTTTGTCGTGCTGACTGTTCTGTCCTGTCCTGCCGTTTTGCAAGACAGAATTGATGACAGGTCAGGACAGGAGGAAAAAAGTTGTTCTGAGCTCATTTCTGATTACGAATGCATTTATCAGCCTTTGGTCAATTCAGTTCAATGTTTTGATTCGAAATTCTTCGAAGTATTCTTTTTAAATATCCATCAAGAAAACAAGCAAAGACAGATGACGAAAGACTTTGGATAAGTTGCAAACAATAATGCGGTACCTTTCTTTCAATTAAACTAATACTGACATGAAATGTATTTTTTTGTATTATTATACCTTGAAAAATCTAATCTTAATATTGAAACTTAGTTTCTCATACTAAAACCTTATTTTTTTTTTGTAGAGAGCTATTTAAAAACAGCACGTCATATTGTCGTTATTCAGTCGTTTATCAGACATTTTTATTCAACTTTAATGCATCAGTAAGATTGAATGAATAAAAGTTATCATTCACAATAATCTAATGTATAGTGTTTGTTAGGATATTTAAATCAATCTAGGGTGTGCATGTGAGTGTGCATGTGTATTTGTTTTTTATGTGGATAAATCAGTTGAAAAACAGATCAGTCTATCCTTTAACAAAAAGAGAAGTTCGATCTGCTAGTTTCAAATCTTGCGTTTAACAATCGAATTCAGAAGAAATAACGGACTTCAGAACTTCTGAAGACTTCATGAGACTTCAAAGATTTCATCAGACTTAAACACTGAATTCTTAGTTGTTTCCTTCTCAATTTATTTACCGTTCACAGAAATATTCATTGTCAACTTTATTACAAGAGAATACCGCAATGTTTCCAAGATCAATTATGTGAGTGACAGAGCATCGGTAGACTTTAAAAGTAAGTGTTTGGTACTTAGAACTGATATTTGCATGAAAAATCTTCTTTTTTTATTAGATAAATATCATATTAACAATTTTGCATATCATCATACAGATTTTCATTTCGAATCATCAGGGACATTCAGTGAGACCGAGCACAGAAAAGGTTCTTGTGATAGAGTGAGTGATGTCGTGAGGTCTACCGCTACACAACATTTACTGAAAGATGGACCAGCTGCCTCATTCTTATCGCCAAAACAGGTATTTTAATGGATTTTTGAAAAAAACGATCATAGGATGGTGGCAAGACCTCATCATATGGGAACTTCAATTTCTACAACGTCTCAAAATATCAGAACCTAATCGTCCTACTTAAGTTCATTGGATATCCGCTGATCTTATAAACAATGAATACAAAAACAATTTGCGGCAATGATGGAAGCAATTTTCCTCTAACGGTATAATTCCATTAAGGCTAATTTTCGAGACAACTTTGACTTTCTTTAGATTTCATAAGTGGCATTTGGGGATATTTATCAATTCGATGCTAACACAAATGGGTCTATCTGGTGTTGTCGTACTTCACAATCTAATAGTATAACCATTTACATATTCAAAATTCCAGCCAGTGCTCAGCTGACTGTAAACCAAAATGTGTCGGATGAACAATCATCTATTGTTCTTTATTGATTGTTTTGTTTTAGTATAATCATGCAACTAAATTACCTAATCTTTACTATGAATCATCATATAAATAACACAGGCTTTTATGGCAAATGTTTCAGCCAAAGAAATTAAACATATGTCCACGTATGAATCATAGACGCTACGTGAGAATAAAACTAATAAGTGCATGTTGTAAAGGTAATTCTGCTCTATCAAATCGATCATATCCTTATTTTAGAATATTTGATTTCTTCAATTAATGATTAGTCTTTTCACATCCACTGACTTTTTAAAAATATTTTTCCTCTCAAGCGCATTACATAATGAATTAGAAAATGGTAAAAAAATTCAAATGCATAAGGAGTCTGGTGTAGTTTTTTACGAGAAATCTGAGTCTGAAATTGGTTTAATGATTCGAATGAAAAATCATAAGCTCTGTTTGACGTTTTGAGTAAAATGCGGCTATCATTTATTGCAAGAAGACAAAAATGTATATTGAGAATTGGATTCATATATCTTTTCGCAAATAGGATCTAAATTCAGAAATATTACTACCAAAATGATCAGCACAAAAGAGTTCTACAAACGCTGAAAGTCTCAATGGATCCGAAGATGGTCGCCTGATAGACTTGGCGAAACTCCATGAATTCATCCTTTATAAAACAAAAATAAAGAAATGTTTTAATATCGGAAAATAGATGCAAATAGATAAAAAAAAAAATAAATCTTCATTATTTTCGAAATAAAGATAAATAAAATAATCAACCGCCATATTTTTCTACGAAAGGTAAATGAATAATTATCTACTACAATAATAGAATATGTTAATGGATATTCTTTCTTATTAACACATCTCTCTAAAGATTAATCAGAAAAATTATTTATCTTTATTTTGTAACCAATAAAGATTTATTTATGTATTGATATTTATATTGCAAAGATAAATGTATATATTATTAGGCTAAAGATTTTCTTTATGTAACATAATAAATAAATTCATAATTGAGACTTTGAAATTGTTTAGTAGATTTTAAAAAAATATTTATTTGAATGGATATTATTGTTTAATTCTATTATTTAATTCAATTTGATATACATTAGAATTAAACTAAGTAGCCATAAAGGATTGTAATTGTATACTGCCAACTTACAACTTTCGATGTTACCTTTTCCCACCCTTCTATTTATATTCTATTTGCTCCCTTATATTTGCTAATTTATCGTCAGGGTATAGTAGCCTCGAGATTAATGGAGAAAAATTTTTAATTTCGAAAAATAATATTAACATAACTTAGATAATGTTACAAGATTGCCGTATCCATTATTTACAATAATAACATCCTCAGTATTGTCTTTGTTAATATCTCCAGAAGCCATGGCAAATGGATGAGAGTCAAAACCAGTTGAAAACAGTATTTGTTTCGCAAAGCTTCCATTGCCATAACCAGAAAAAAGACCAACATTATTAGTACCATAATTGGCAACGGCGATGTCCATTCGCTTGTCATTGTCAAAGTCTCCTACAACAACTGAATATGGATGAGATTCATCGCCAGTAAAATAAGTTGTTTGACTGGAGAAAGTACCATTGCCATGCCCTAGTAGAACACCTATATTGTTAGCACCATAATTCGCTACGACGATATCGAGTCGACTATCATTGTTAAAATCACCAGTTCTGATCCAATATGGATAAGAACCATTTCCAGTTGAGTAATTTGTTTGACTTGAAAAAGTGCCAATCCCTGAACCAAGAAGTATCATCACATTGTCACTGCCACTGCATGCGATGGCAATATCTAATCGGGAATCGTTATCAAAATCTCCTACGGTGACACAATTTGGTTTTGACGAATTTCCAATTGGATATGCTGGTAGACTACGAAACGTGGCACTGACATAACCAAACATGACACCTACATTACCTCTGTTTTTATTAGCCACAACAATATCCATCTGTCCATCGTGATTGAAATCATGTCCAATGGCAAAAACAGGCGAAGAGAAGTCCTCAAGGGGGTAAGTTTTTTGATTGAAAAACATTCCATCCTTATACCCTAGAAAAATGCCTATAGTATGGGTCCCAAAATTGGCCACAACAATATCGAGTCGACCGTCATTGTTAAAATCACAAATGGTGACTGAAATTGGTGCAGAACCTAACCCAGTTGGATAAATCTGTTGAGGCATAAAACTGCCATTGCGATACCCAAAGAAAATGCCTAAGTTGTTACCATTATGATTAGCGACAGCAATGTCTAATTGACCGTCGCCGTTAAAATCAGCTACAGCGATTGCTCTTGGACCGGAATTCAATCCGGTTGGATAAGTTTGTATCGGTAAAAAAGATCCATTGCCTGTTCCAAGCAAAATTCCTATATTATTAGTGTGAAAAATGGCGATGGCCATATCGAGCCAACCATCATTATTGAAATCTCCAATAGCGATAGCCTGAAGAGTAGAGGAGTGTCCAGTTGAACAAGTAGTCTCAGATGCAAACCGGCCATTATGGTATTGAAGCAAAATGTATACATTATCTTCAATGTTAACCGCAATATCCAGTTGACCATCATTATCGAAATCGGCAACTGCAACAGTTTCTGGCCATGCACCACCACTGTAAAAGAGCTCCGGTGTCGAAAATGAGCCATTACCTACCCCAAAAAGTATACCTATACGTTTTCTAAAATTGTCGGAAAATACAATATCAAGAAAACTGTCATTGTTGAAATCACAAACTACAATTGAATATGGCCGAGAACCGCTGCCAGTTGAATAGAACTGTGGATCTTTAAAACTGCCATTGCCATACCCATAGAGAACCCCTATATTGTGAGTTCCATAATTGGCGATAGCGATATCAAGATTATTGTCATTGTTCAAATCACCAAAACTAATCCAATTCGGTGTAGAACCAGAGTCAGTCGAATACAACACTGGACTTTCAAAAGCTATATCATCATATCTAAGTAGTACACCCACACTATTGATCCCATTGTAGACGACGACAATATCGAGGCGTGAATCATTATTAAAATCACCGGTGGCGATCGACCGTGGATTAGAACCACTGCCAGTTGGGTATATCACTTGGTTTTCAAAAGACCCGTTTCCGTATCCAAAAAGAACACCAACACTGTCAGAATTAGCATTGGCGATGCTGATATCCTGTCGGTCGTCGTTGTTAAAATCGCCTACAGCAAGTGAAATCGGACGCGACTGATAACCTGTGGAATACGTTGTCTCCATTGAAAATGTTACATTTGTATATCCTAAAAGAACGCCGACATTGTCTTGATTAGAATTAGCAACAACAATATCTAGTTGAGTGTCGTTATTAAAATCATAGACCACAACATATTCTGGATGCACGGAGAATCCAGTTGAGTAAGTGGCTTTGCGAGTAAATTTTATGACATCTAAACCAAGGAAAATACCTATGTTGTTACTGCCAGAGTTGGCAACAACGATATCCAATCGATTATCATTATTCAAGTCACCAGTAGCTACCGAATACGGCTGAGAATTATTACCAGTAGAATAATACAATGGACTTGAAAATATGCCTTTACCTTTTCCCAAAAATACAGCTACATTGGAAACACCCGAATTAGCGACGACGATATCGAGTCGACTATCGTTGTTGAAATCACAAGCAGTTAAGGAAATTGGATTAGCTTTTCCACCGATTGCATATACTACTTGATTTGAAAAGGTCCCATCCCCATTTCCAATGAAAATGCCAATAGTCGGTTTCTGGAAATTGGCGACGGCGATGTCAAGTTTGCCATCGTTGTTGAAATCGCCAACGGTAACCGCTCGTGGATAAGAACCAAACTCAGTTGGATTGCTTATCTGACCTGAGAAAGTCCTGTTGCCATAGTTAAGAAAAACACCTACATTGTTGGTGTCCCAGTAAAGTTCATTAGCAACAGCGATATCAAATCGATCATCATTGTTAAAATCGCCAACTGTTATTGAAAATGGTCGATACTCAGAGTATATTGCAGAGATCAATCCATGTGAAAAGTTACCATCACCATCACCAAATAAAATAGTTATTTCGTCTATGTAGCGATTCGCGACAGCGATATCGAGACGACCATCGTTGTCAAAATCACAACTGGCTACTGAAAATGAGGCAGGGTACCACTCATTTGAATAGGACTTTTGAGGCATAAAAGTGCCATTCCGATACTGAAGGAAAACACCTACGTTGCCATAACCCTCATTAGCAACAGCGATATCCAATAGACCATCGCCGTTAAAATCACCTACAGTGATTGATCGTGGATTTGAATTAGATCCAGTCGAATAAGTCATTTGGGTAGAAAAGCTTCCATCACCATAACCAAGAAAAATGCCTAAATTACTACTATTTCTGTTGGCAACAGCAATATCCAATTTGTCGTCGTTATTAAAATCATCAATGACGACTGACGATGGTTGGGAATAGTCTCCAGTTGAGTATTGAACTTGGTCGGAAAAAGTGGAATTGAAAGATCCAAAAAAAACGTTGACATCGTTCGTAGCATAACTAGCAATGACGATATCCAGTATATTATCATTATTGAAGTCATCGGCAACAATTGAATGAAGATTAAAACCAGTGAGAACTGAATAGGTAACCTGCGTTGCAAAAGTCCCATTCCCATATCCAAAAAATAGACCTATATTGTTTGTCTGTGAGTTGGCAACAACAATATCTAGTTTATTATCATTGTTAAAATCACTAATAGCCACTGAGACAGGATAAGACTTATTACCAGTAGAATAAAGTGTTGGTTTTTCAAAGCTTCCGTCTCTGTGACCAAGAAAAACGCCTACATTGTGGGTGTTAAAATTGGAGACAGTTATATCCAAATGAGTGTCGTTGTTTAAGTCGGCCAATGCAATTGAGTACGGTTGAGACTTAATACCAGTTGTAAATGTCATTTGATCTTCAAAAGATCCATTCCCATGTCCAAGAAATATTCCTACATTATTGGTGACATTATTAACGACGGCGATATCGAGTTTATTATCGTTGTTGAAATCCCCAACAGCGATTGACAATGGAAGAGAATCATAGCCAGTACTGAAAGTTGTCTGATTTGAGAAAGTTCCATTACCAAGTCCTAGAAGTACACCTATATTGCTAGTACCATAATTAGCGACAGCAATATCGAGTTTATTGTCACTGTTAAAGTCACCAACAGTGATCGCTCGTGGTCGAGAAGGTCCAGTAGAAAATGTTGTTTGGCTCGTGAAAAAACCATTTCCAAGTCCGAGAAATATTCCTACATTGTGAGTACCGAAGTTTGCGACGGCTATATCCATTCGATGATCGTTGTTGAAATCACCAACAGTGAGTGAGTATGGATTTGAACCAGAGCCAGTTGAATACGAAAATTGACTTGCAAAAGTATTGTTGCCATATGCAAGAAGAATACCGATGTTATCACTACCTGCATTGGCGACAGCAATATCAAGTAGATTGTCATCGTTGAAACCAGCAACAACAATCGAATGTGGATGAGAATCAGTTTGACTTGAACGTCGAGTCAACGGTTTCAGCATTAATAAACATGTCTTCTCTAAAGCAATTGAAAGATATTACAATAAAAGAAAATTGAATGAATCAGTCTGTTGTCTTATTTTCCAACACTTCGATTAGTAATAGGTTTTTTATCATTCTAATGTGCCAATAACAAAAAGAAAAAAAAGATAACTCTTCACAGGACTCGAGCCACGTACTTCCTGTCATCTGAGTAGACATCCTAAGCCAGTTATCTAGAAAAGTCATCTTGTCTCTTCCTTTACGGTTCATTTTTTTCATGGATCATAATACATTGTATTCCATATTTTAGAATTTAATAGTAATCAACAGGGAATATCATCTAAAACTATGCATCTGTTCAACAATTATACCGCTTATTCTCCGTTTTGCATTGTGCAAATATTTGTATATTTGAATAATCGGTGAAATTGTAAGAATTATAAATGTTTAAACGTAATTTTAATAGCAAGTGTCTTTCTAAATATTCGTCCATCTTATCTTATATTAATAGGTGAAAAAGTGTCCTAGATTAACTATATTTTTATGAATCAATTAATTTCGTTTAATTATGTTTTCTATGAGTGATACTGTCAGATATGACGATTTTTGACGTTCGCACACACTTTTCAGTAAAGTTCGAAATGAGTCAACTATTGCATAAGTAATGTCTAAACCAAGTCGCTAGAATTTAAGTGAGCAATAATACTTTTGTTATCATGAGATATAATCTACACAGCCTTAACCTTGTAGTGATGATGCTTTTGATTTCTTGCATTCTTTTGATAATTGTTCATTAACTTTTTGTGAAAATATATTCTATCAGTGTATTTTCGAATGAGTTTCGATTCCGAATCTGGGCGTAAGGAATCCGATCGAATTCAGGTCAGAACCGATCGTTATTGGAGGGAGTTACAAGTGGTATTAAATCAACTAAGAATGAAAGACAGAAAGCCATTTCATTCATCACCGTCTAATTTTTCGTCGGATGTCGTCAATAAAATAGAATCCTATTCTGACACTAGAAATCAGGTCGGAATACGTGTCGACCAAAGTTTCGAATTGATTCTATTCCAGATAAGTCTAAAATAGTTTCAAGAGTGTGGATCGTTTGAGAATCAAATGAATTTCAATAGTATTATGTTTCAAAAATTCGATCAGTATTTTAACGAATAGTTCTTATTGGAGTTCAAGAAACAAAATCAAATGGTAACAACTTTTCCAACTATATTTGTGAATACATAATGGAATAGCCTGAAGAAATGATGATTCTATGATCAACTTCTTATTTTCGTTTGTGTCCGCAAACTCAACTGTTGTCAAAAAATATCGTACTGCACTCATGTTGCTATTAAAATACGCTGAAATTTTCATCAAAAATTTTTATTTATTTAGAAATAATTAGTTCGCAAAGATTATATGAATATGGAAGCAGTATCAAAGCAATTAATTTCCAGTGCAAATTCATTATCTAAAACACATGCGTGCCAAAATTGAAAGTTGAATTCAATTATTAAATGATTCAATATTTGAATAGTCGGATTCAAGTATTCAAATATGTAATTGCAGGTGCCTAATATTCACGTGGTGGAAGCGCTTCCGCCGCCTTACTGACATTTTATCTGAGTATTACAGCATCAAAGCGCCCTCCGAAGAGCTGTGACTCATGCACGTCTTCGTGTACATAGTATCTACAACATGAAATATGATGCTCGTAGCATCGGAGGCACAGCCTGTAGCATATCAAATGATGGTTTCAGCATCCCAGGTTGTATCTATAGCATCCTGGTCACACCTACAGCATTCCCGATGATGTCTGTAGCATATTTGGTGATATCTGTGACATCTTAGAATAGTTGCTTATTGAAACGGACAAGTTGAATACTTGAATTCAACTATTCAATAATTGAATAATTGAACTCTATTTGAAGAATTCAGAGATGGAACCAGTACCGGTCTAAGTTTTCGATCGACCGATTTACCGGTTGAAACCGGTCTAAGCCGATTTTTGTCAGTCTATATCTTGCACTTCCTGCTTTATGATACTACTCACATAAAAGAAAACAACTTGCATCGAGGCTAATCCCTCTGATCACACAGGAATTGGTTTAACAAACAGTTTCTAGAATATCGTTCAATGAGGCTGTTGTTATCAACAATGAAGCGTTAAGCCAGTATGCGTGAAGGTACGAAGCCAACCCTCAAGAGACACTATGGGAAAAGGTTTCATTTTAATCCTAAGCCTGCCGTCTTTAGTTCGATATTTTGTCGGTGGCTCGGATTTTCCTGATAAACTGACGTATCATTAGTATCCGGTTTACTACCGATAGACAGGACAGCCCAGTTTTAACCGGTAGACCGGTATTGGTATCGATCCGAAAAAAGGAAGACCGTTTCCATTTCTGCAAGAATTGACTTCAAGTTTCAAGTTTGATACTACTGCTAAAACATAAGATGAATCTTCTACGTATAGTTTAAGTTTCTTCTAATAACTATGAAACTTATATGCGAGTATGAGAACAAGTAGCAATATCGTCATCTGTTTGGTTAGTTCATGCATAGGTATATAAATTGCACCAGGAAAAGTATTTAGTTCATGTGACACACCCTCAGAGTATGGTGATAATCTTTACTAGTTTTCTTGTCAATGCTAATCTGAATTCAAAAGGAATAATATTTCTAATGCTGATCATTTTCTTTTGGTCGAGTTAGTAGGATTTTTATCGTGTTAAATCCGAAGAATGTAGAATAATAAAGGCATACCTGGTGGTTTGGGTGAAGTAAAACAAACTACTAGTATACCAATAAGCGTGGTTATAACCGACAGCGCACAAAATGTAATGGTACGGACATGTTTTGAATCTTGCATTGACCGAAAGTAATATTTTCTAGTGAAAAGCAGTAAACATCATGTTTGTAAACAAAAGAAAAGGACATACGGAGTCTTTGAAGTCATGTTTATCTCTCCTTCTTCGCTGATATCATTGTAAACTTGATCAACATTATGTGCGTTTGAAGTCGGAATGATGCTCTCGTTTGCTGTCGTGCGAACATTTTGATCAGTATTTGAGCGATTGATCGATTCAGTACAATTATCCATAGAAGTCGTTCCAATCTACCGAGAGACAACAGTTAACGGAGTATGCCTTTCTGATGTCAACACAAATTCTATATCTAAGAATCGACATTCAACAAAAGCATCCGATATAACTATTTGGTGGTATTGGCTAAATGACCAAATCGGCATGCTGTTACTTTCTTCCATTGTATTGATTTATCAAATGTTGAAAGAAAATGTACTTTTCTAAATAGGCGAGCTGGTCGTATGTAGGCATGCACAGGAAGGGTGTGGGTCCATCCTTTTCTGGACACTCACATCCACACCCAGCTGAAGTCTATCAGAGGTTTTTCATTTTATATATTTGGTATTAGTTTAATGAGGCTAGAGAGCATATGTATGTTTCACATTTCAGCCCCACAGGAGCTGCGCTAACAAGCTTTTCTTTTTCGTTCGTTTATAGTGAACAATCACGAGACGACATTTACTATAAATATTAGGTGAAACACTGCACAGCTCTCTCAAAATCACGAGATTGCTACTTGATGGTAAAACAACTTTCTCTTAATACACATAGATCTCTCTGGCTAGAACAAGAAAGAACACTAATTCGTTGTTAATACAGATCTAAATGATTTGCTTTCCATCTTAATATCTTATGTTTAGCGACTGAATGGATGTCATCACATGGAACAGAAGACTCTGTGGTTGAGCTGGATGGATACGACTTTGAAAGTTTTGTATTGTTATCGGAGACTTTCTAGTTGGGTATTAGCGCAATCTTTTCACTTATTTCTTTCGGTACTTTACCTCTCTTTTTCGTGTTCTTCTGTCTTTCTTTCGGTTATTTTTCTTTTTCTGATACTAACTTTTTTATTTTGTGGAACTTACATATATATTCGAAGAAAATAGTGAATGTAAGTTTTAAGTTCAAGTTTTGGTGGCTCCTCAGCTCGCCCTCTCCATTACAGACCTCAGCAACCACGCGCAACAGGCTTCAGATATATTTATTAATAAAAACAAAAAGGAATTGAACAGTATAAAGAATATGAGCTCGACTGTTATACAATATGTCAACGTCTTCAGTAATATTTGAAAAACTATAATATATTTGTTAATATTCTTATTAGCGAAATTGTCGACTTTTTGTAGAATTGAAACTTGTATTTTGAAAATGAAGAATGAAGAGTAGTAATATATATTGATCTGTCATATAAATCATATAATCAACATGAAAAACATGATTCGATCTTTTTATCGGTTTACAAAATAAACGACGTCACCATTTATGAGTTGACTCAGATATATAGTAGTACAATAAAGCTGCTGATGCATGTATAGTGCATTATTATAACAGTCCGATTTATGAGATAGCCGATGGTGAAGAAAAATAATAATGTCAAATTGAAAAAAAATACAAAAAAACTGACTAACATCAAGTGCATAACAAGAATTATAAATGAAATCAGGCGCTCTCAAACAAAAAAGATTTCTCTTTTAAATGTAGAAATAAATAATAAAGTCTCACTCTTGTCATCGATTATCAATGAAAACAACTACAGTGGTACAAGAAATTTTTCAATTTAAACATGATGTATTAGGACACATTTCAGCTCCAAAGGAACTGCGCTAACAAGCTTTCTTCTTTCTTTCTTCTCCTCATTTAGTATCTTGCTTCATACCTTCTTTTCTCTTTTCCTTTCTTTTTTCTTTTCCTTTCTTTTCTCTTTTTCTTTCTTTTCTCTTTTCCTTTCTTTTCTCTTTTTTTTTGTTCACTTTCATATTTTTCTGTTTGTATTTATCTTTCTTCTGTTCGTTTTTTTTCTTCTAAATTGGTTTGATGCTGCACCCTTCATGTCTCTCTAGGATCATAATGGTCAGAGGATTTTGAAAGGCAACACATATATATATATCTAGTTTGAAGCATCAGAAGGCACACATGCACTATTTTTACATCCATTCAAA